TCCTCTTATTTTTGTCACTGCTGTTGAATGTCTTCCCGTCATGCAATTTCCCGTCTTTGCTAAAATTCTTCCTTATTTTATCGCGCCACTCTAAAAAAAAATAAATCAGTAGAAAAGTTTTTTTTTCTCTTTAAGACTTGAAGAATTAATTCACTGGAAGCCATTTTTAATCATTGATCTATGAAAACAGTTGCATACACCCTTTTGCAAATTATTTGAAACAAAACGAATAATTCATTATTATTTATTTTTCGTAATTTTCCAATTAAACATGGCCCATTGCACATGTTAATAATTCGTATATCCATTCCCTGAAGTCGTTCCTTCCAGATTGACCACAGGTTCTCGATTGGACTTAAATCGGAGAGTTTCAGAGCCTGTCGATCGCACTTTGATTTGTTCACTGTTAAAGCTTGTCATTGTGTTCGTACAGCGTTACAATTTTCGTAAAACTCCTTAGAGTAACAATCATCGCAGACAATGGCCGTAGGATAACTAATCAAGAGACGAGACAATAGTCTATGGGCGTGAAAAATGCAATCACGGATGACGCAATATTTTTCAAGTCCAAATAAATTTCACCATACACTCCGAAAATATATTCATATTACTACACACACAGCAAATGACCTAATCTGTGGAAAAATAGAAATCGATTAAACCCCGTCGTTCCAATGGATCTGTAATGGTGAAACAAAAGAAATTAAAAGAGTTGTTTCAGATAATTTGCACAAGGTTGTATAGTTTATAATTTAGATATTTCGGAACGACTTGGCGTGGCATACATATGTGAGTCTACACCTGACCAGGCTGTTTAGGAATATGTTTATTCAAAACTCACAATATATTCGTGAATTATGTTTAACGTCCGTTTCTTATAGAGTTTATTGTGTAAAAATGGATTTCAAAATAAGGTATGACAATGTGACTGCTGCGTGCAAATATTAAATATAAATTAAACAAATCACTAGCAAAGGACACGGAATAATTATCAAATGCTCCACAATGCAGAAACGGATGTATGAAATTCTCTGAAGGTTACCGGAAGAAGTAACTATGATGCTACGGTTGAAACGTCTGAATAATCAAAAGAAAGACAATTAGTAAATTAGTAATGTAAATAAACTTTACTTCATATCTTTTGTTGAGAACAAATTATATGTTTTGGATAAGAAAACCCTGACGTCCATAAAGCAAATTATGAAAGATTTACCAAGAATAAAATACCAAGAATAATTGCGACAGTAATAATAATATCGTCAGTAGATTGATTATTAATTCCCATACATTTACCATTACCGTCTGTTGAAATATATGAAATTTTCTCTTAAAATAGGAAAATATGTTTCTAAACTTCAGTAACTATAGACCATCTTTCTCGTACTTTAGAGTGCTTCCTTTCTAAACTTGATTAACTTCTCTCAATTTTGTCACTGCTGTTGAATGTCTTCCCGTCATGCAATTTCCCGTCTTTGCTAAAATTCTTCGTTATTTTATCGCGCCACTCTAAAAAAAATAAATCAGAAGAAAAGTTTTTTTTTCTCTTTAAGACTTGGACTTTGTTATAGAGTTTATTGTGTAAAAATGGATTTCAAAATAAGGTATGACAATGTGACTGCTGCGTGTAAATATTAAATATAAAATTAAAAAAACACTAGCAAAGGACACGGAACAATTATCAAATGCTCCACAATGCAGAACCGGATGTTTCGACAAACGTATGGTATCCTTTAGGGATTTTCGAGTATATCATTTCTTATTTCCAAACGTATATTATTTGTGTCAATGTATTCAAACATCGCACTCATACTGAACATTAGATTGAGAAATAGATTATTTAGATTAACTGAGTTCGCTGATACACACACGCACACACACACACACACACACACACACACATATATATATATATATGAAGAAATATAGTTTTAAGGTGTGCTATATTTATGGGAAAAGTGCTTAATATCAGAGATAGAGCGTGTGTAAATATAGTGAACATAGAAGTCAACACTTAGAGGCCTTCGGTGTTGACTTTATGTTCACGTTTATATATATATATATATATATATATATATATATATATATATATATATATATATATCAAAATCTGTTGGTATATAAGTGAATCTTAATAATATAAAATATTAATATTAATAATATATTTTTTTGCCCAAAAAGAGCTCAATATATCGATTATAAAAAAAGAGAATATCTATTCCATAATAAACAGATGCAAAATAGCCTCATGTGAATGGACTATATAATATAAATAGTCTATTCTCATGAGATAATTATATATATATATATATATATATATAAATGACAATAGGAAAACTGTAGTTATTGCTGATGTGTTTCGTCTAATGTGGACTTCCTTATATATATATATATATATATATATATATATATATATATAGATAACTAGACTCTTTTCGAAAAACCCTCGAATCTTTGATTTGCTAATCAAATCAATCTCGAGGGAAAAAAAGGTTTTAAAAAAAGAAAGAGTTACAAACATGAACTGCCGACAAAAAAAAATCGCACAGATGCAGGTCTGAAGCCCAAAGAAAAAACCCCGATACGAGTAACAACTAACTAACAAAAGAGCTCAATACAACCGTAGAGCAGACCTAGATACACCTAGTGAGCCAGACAAACCTACCTAGGTTTCACCTAAACGGATCGTCAGGGAAAGTTTGGCTGGGAAATGTGTGTGTGTGTGTGTATATATGCGGACTTCATATATATATATATATATATATATATATATATATTAAAGAGTAAAGACAAGCCACAAACGTTATGCTGTGGATTTCTACATATATTATATTTTATTTTCCAGATTATTACACGTGTTACGAGTCTTTCGATATTCATCAATCGAAGAATTGTTATTTCCATATATTATTTAAAAGAATCACCTTTAGAAAATGACTGGATGATAATATTTGCATACAAACTCATGGTTAATAAGGAAATCTATATAGAATACTACCTGTATTTAAAAAAAAAAAAAAAATTCACAAGTAAGGACATTTGTCTCCTAATATGAAAGCCAGTTGCCGAAATGTTATCAAATCCCAATGAAAAAAATTCATAGAGTTCTCCTCAGGTCCTTAGAGATCAGTATGTAACAAGAGTGAGGGAAAGACATATTTATTTTTTCAATTGCATTTCTCTCGTTATGAGCGTTTTTTGTGTTTGTTTTTGTTTGTTTTTATTGTTTTATCCATGGTATAACAAAATCATAGTTCTCGGACAGGACAGAATATCTGAATGCAAAAAGACTAATAAACGTACACAGGTGAGGATTATAATGCTCCGTCGTACAGGAAATGAGGTATATACTAAGATACACGTATCCCACACAGAGAAATTTCAACATATCCAATAACAAACTGTGTGTAACAAAGGGAAAACATACTTTTGATATTTCCCAAAAGGAAAACTGGAGTTAGATCGGTTTCTTCACGAACCATGTTAGGTCATGTGTTTTTCCTGTAAAGCCTACTACTGCTATATATTATAGTATTAATTATAATATTATAATTATATAATATTATAAAATATAATATATATATTAATTATAATATGTTAGGAATATAATAACATTCTTGTAAAGTCTACTACTTCTATATATTATAGTATTAATTATAATATTGTAATTACATAATATTATATAATATAATACATATTAATTATAATATTTTAGGAATATAATAACATTCCTATAAAGCCTACTACTGCTATATATTATAGTATTAATTATAATATTATAATTACATAATATTATATAATATAATATATATGTATTAATTATAATATATTAGGAATGTAATAACATTCCTGTAAAGCCTACTACTGTTATATATTATAGTATTAATTATAATATTATAATTACATAATATTATATAATATAATATATATATATTAATTATAATATATTAGGAATATAATAACATTCCTGTAAAGCCTACTACTATTATATATTATAGTATTAATTATAATATTATAATTATAAAATATTATATAATACATATTAATTATAATATATTAGGAATATATAACATTCCTGTAAACCCTGCTACTGTTAACTAAGTCATATTTCTTCTCTAGCTTCTAGATCACGACTGCTTTCTTTAGTCTATCTCCTGACGTAATGAGATCCCTCTGGCTATCTCAATAAAGGGGGAATAATCGACATTTTTAATTCAAAAAGTGGTAAGTTTTCCATAGGCGATTGCAAAACACTTAATAAATAAAGCTAATTATTTCTCATTTATTTTAACGGATTTGTTTCTTTAGTCGCCAGCAGGATACATCCTGTCAAACTTTTGAGAGTACCTATGACCTTTAATATTAAAACAAAGGACTTATCTCTGTAAGCAAAAGGAACGAGTGCTGTTTTTTTTTAAATAAAATTTGCCTGCAATACATAGTGTAAAGTCTTTGGTAATATAAAACCCATTTTCCTAATAAAATTATTCGCGAATCACTCTTAAAGTTGCTAATACTTTTGAAAGTCAGTACAAGAATTAAATGTCTATGAAGTTACAAAGGTACTTCAAAGATTTCTTTAACATTACGCAAAGGAAAATGCTTTGGAAGGATTTTCTTTTTTATGTCTGTATATCCATTTGATCTCCAATCTATATTCATTGTGCGTAACCACTACCAATAGAATTTAATAACCTCGAAGACCTCTGGCTACAATTGGTAATTGTTACTTTCACTTACACTTTAACAAAAGTCCTTCACAATACATTTTGGATTTCCTTTAGGCACGGCTTTCCGGTTTACAGACTGCAGAGAACTATTCTCAAATGACTTCTTCGTCCCGAATTTCTCAATGACGGGAATTCTCCAAAGAATGGCCTCAGGAAGAAAAAAAAAGAGAGAATTTACCATTTTCTTATCTCGGCGCGTTGTTCGTATAGGATCTTTATACAGTTTTGAATTTCGAGTTATTGAATGCATAAGAATCCCCCATAGGTTCGTGTATGTTTCATATCTATTATGTCACTCAGCTGTGGTAAGAAACGTTCGATTTTAAATTGATTCATGAAGATCGCTCTCTATTGGATTGTAATGGCTGTCATATAAGCATGTATATTTATTGGTTTGATGAAAGAAATATTTTGGATGTCAAATGGCATAAAGATAAATTATTCTGCTTTAGATTTGAACTTTTCAAATCGTATATAAGCATGTATCTTTTGTTCTCTTTTGAGGTTTAAATGCATAGAGTGGGATTTGTTTCTTTTTAATTCAGCAATCATTATTTGGTTAGATTTACATGAGTTTTATATAAAAGAAATGATTATTCTTTGTCCATCAGAAGCAGACTGTATGATAGTAGTATAGCCTATATTTCAGTAACTACAGTGTATTTTCCCTTTATTTTTCATTCTTTCTCCAGACGCTTTTTATTACCAAAACCGCCAAGTTTGTATTCATCTGTCCGCAATACATTTTCCTAAATTATGAATATTTTGTATGACAAACTTTATATTTTTTTATCATTAACCTATCCGTAGAATTTTTGAGAAAATCTCAAGAGTTATAATTTTAATTCCTGAAAAAAAAAAGAGCAATATTATTCGATTTAGCAAATACATGATATATCATCTTATTTATGCATAACTGGAAAATGATCACCATTAAAAAAGTCAACGATCAAAACAATAATGTAAATTGAGTCAAAATTTCCTCGAGTCCAAAAAAAGAAATAATATGTTAGAACCTATACATTGGCAGCGTCAATCTACTGAGTTATCACCGATTGAATTATTATAGGATGGTTTTAATAGAAAAATTCGTAGAGAATACACAAAGCGTGAGAGTAAGATTTTACAGTAATGGAAGAATACTTGGGAAGCTCTGCGAAAGTATTCTTCTAAATTATGTCAAATTTACCTCGGGTCAAGGAATAGAATGACATTTTTGACATTATAACTTGCCTGCTTCAATCTCATGAGTTCACTTCCATTAAATTACTTCGAGATGGATTTGCTAGGAGAGTTCGTGGATAATACTAAAACAGTGATTTTTTTTAAGAACTTGAAGAATGCTTGGGAAAGTCTGGTATCTACTTAAAAATAAAACAAATGCTTATGGAAAGGATAATGTGAATTTGTAACACAGTAATTAAGGCCGGGTTGATTTTATTGACGAAAACAAAATACGATTTTGTTGTATGATTCATTTTCATAATTAGTTGACACTTTTTTGTCAAAATAAAAGTAAATACGCTGTAGTTGCTACAGTATTATTCTCTACTTCAAAAATACAAAAAAATATTTCATTTTACGTTTGTTTTTTTTTACGTGGGCGATGTTGTGAAAACGTATTCGAATATGATTTCAAAATATTAAATAAGCTCGATTGAACTATTTTCTCATATAACGACGACGTGATCATATTTAAACGGAACGCTGATCTTATATAAAAATTTCAATTATCTGTTTTGATTAGTCGTGCTCTTATGACCATCGTCTTTTTCATGCTGAATTTGAATATGTTCTAATGTTAATTATATTTTAGGAATATGTCATGATGATGGTCTTAAACAGACCGAAACATCTGACGTAGACATTATATTAACATTAATACAGCATAATTGCATATTAAGATTTTTGTTTGGTTTTCTGTATATTTTTCTTCATACTGTCGGATCTATATCCATATATTTGCTTATATATATATATATATATATATATATATATATATATATATATATATATATATATATATATATGAAAAATTTATATATGACAAATTTATATAAGAAAAAATAGTATTTTAAATATGACGATAATTCCGATTAAAAATTTAATCATCATGCCGCCATTGAATTAATTGGCATGTATCAGTTTTTTGACAATTTCCCACATTCACCATAAATTACACTACAAATTAACATTTATTCCTTTTATTACGGATATTTATTGCAGAATTAATTTGTTCTGTTTGTCTTTGATGTCGTATGTGTACAGTGGCCTATGATAAGTTTTTAGCCACCATTGATTGCAGCATTTTTGGTTTCTTTAATGACTTCGCTTCTTTATTTCAAACAATACCGCGTTAGTATCAAACTACTTTCATCTATGAACGATTGTTGACTTATACCTTGCAATGAAAGTTCGTGGAAGTAAAGAAATTAGTGAAGGGCAAATAATAGGATGGCATCAGTGTGGCAAGTCAAATAGAGAAATTGCTTGGGTTTTCCAGCTTAATCATCAAACGTTTAATAATATTTCAAGAAATTTAATGAAGACGGCCACTGTCATGTGGAACAACGTTTAGGAAGGCCAAGCCCCGTGCCTGAGCGAATGAAAACGGAACAGAATAGGGAAGTTATCAGAAACGTCGTCAGAGCGCCAATGATGTCGCCAACAACATGGAAATATCGACATATGCGGTAAGAAAGACTGAAAGAATTAGGCTATCAAAGAAGAGTTGTAAGAAAGAAGCCCTTGTTAACAGGAAACTTTGTATGGACTGGGCGAGAGAATTCGAGAGCAAAGATTATGAATTTTGTTATTCTGTAATTTGGTCAGATCAAATTAATACTTCCAATATTCTAACTCGAGATTGGTTTAGGTTTGGAGAAATTAGAATGAGACTTGAAACACTGAATGTCTGCAGCCGACTGTGAAATATGGAAGGATTGGAATATTGGTGTTGGGCGCTGTCTGGTTTGGAGGGAAATCTCAGCTAATTCTTGTTGACGAGCGGTTGAATGGTCGAAAACATTGTCAAATAATAGATAAAGGACGATTGACAAGAAAGTCTAACTTTTTCAAGAATATGGAGCACCATGTCATACGAGCAAAGTAGGAAAGGCGTGGAATGAATCGCAAGGAAGCAAGTCCCTGCCATGGGTAGCCCAGAATCCTGGCATGAATCCAATAGAGCACGTTTGGGAGCACCTTGAAGAAATCGAGAGCGTGCAACCAAAATCACATCATTGGCAACCCTTAAAGAAACATTGCTAAAGGAGTGACAAAATATGGATCAGACGATTGTTGATAACTTGGATCAAATCCATGAAAAATCGAATACAAGCACTGAAACTAGCAATGAAGGACCTACTCCATACTAGTTCTAAATACTTTTTTTATGTTGAATAGGATTACGTAATTAAATTTTGAATTGGATGTAGTTAATTTCTCCTAGCTAAAAACTTTTCTTCAGCCACTGTACATGGCTCTCCCCAATATCCCATCCTTTTTAGCCTCAGCCTATATTTATCACCTCACTAACCTACTAGACTTAATTCTACCGTCCATTTATACGAGCTGCTTATGTAGAATATTTGTTTTTTCTATATATCCGAGATGAGATATTGTAACTATTTGCCCTATTTAAATTGTTCATTCTTTTGTCCTCATATTTATTGTAATATTTATGATGTTTTTCAGGTGATATATGTTGGAATTACGCACCGGATCTAATTTTTTTAATCCACTGGCGTAGATTCTTCTAGTTCCACGTGCCATGCCTTTTCTGAATATCCTCGTTTTTGATATTTTCATTTAATAAATCATCTCTCCAAGTTTTTGTTCAACTCTGCTGTGGCCAGATATTGAACCCGCAATTCCTTGGGGCAAGTCACTAGATTACTTCGAGCAAAATAATTCAACCTTGGCGACAGCAGTGAATGAATTTTTGTGACTTATAAACGTAATGCCTTAGTAACTATATTTCTACTGAAACTAAAATGACTATTTCTATTGTTTTTCTATAGCGTTCGATATTTCTGGTTCCCATATTGTATAACTGTCTATGCTTGCTAGGTTTAGGAGATTTTTGTGACATACCATATGCGCCGATTCTTTAAATTTTCGTATTTTCCTCTGATGTTCTTTGTCTATTATTTCAACTTCACCCCAGTGTTTGGTTCGAATTCCAGAGTATATCACCTGAGGAAGGCCAGAGTGTGCAACAGCCGAAACCCCGTGAATATGACAATGAAGATGAAGACCACTGTCCAAATAATATAAATAAAATAGTTGCTGTTTTCACTACTATTCACAGCTTTCGATAATTCTAAAATTCCTCTGGTGCGATTTTTTTTTTTTTTTTTTGATAGATTTTCCCAGAAATTACAAATATCTCTTTATGATTTTAAGTACAAATACCATTATCATGTTGCATATTGTTTTATTTAGCCTTTAAATGTCATCTTTCGTTATTCAAATGAGCGTTCGGATTTCTCTGACTTTTGGCCTTGTCTGTTATAACAATGGACAGATAGATAAATCTCTGTAGTTCCTTAGTTCTGAGGTTTTCGATGGGTAGCGCGCATCTTGTGTTTCCCCTATTGTTAACGACCACAAATTCTGCCATTAAAATTAAGAATTTATCGTTCTTTTCACTTTTCTTTCGAACTTCTGCTCGGATTTCCTGTAGTATTCTTTCTCTGTCTTCTACCAATACAATACAATCTGCTTCTCTTATGTTGTTTTGATTGCTCCCACCAATAATAAATTTGGCAAGGACGTCTAGTTCTGTAATGGTTAAATAAATCCGTCGAGGAGACGCATAACTTACTTAGGCCACATTCGGTTTTTGAGTACATGTTCAATTCATTTTATGTCCCTCTGCTGGTCGTTACCTCCTCGTAACTGTCCTAGATTATTCTGAATAACTTACCCACACAAATCTACTCATAGGAGCAGTTCAAATGAATGTTGTTCCATATCTTATAAATGGCTTACTCTTACTCGATGAAAATAGATATCCGCCCTTCTTGAATTGTATTCCTTAGTCAGATAACATTTTGATTATAAAGATCGTAATTCTTTTTAAAATATGTCTGATGTTAATACTATTTTGCATATTTGTTATATGTTGATCAATATGTGCCTTAAATACACTAAATTTTGTCAAATGACAAGTTAATCTACGGGAGAATGTATTGTATTTGTGGCCTATGTAGGAATTGAATTTTGTTTGTTGATTACTAGTATTAGAAATACAATCTCCCACAAGACATAAGAATTCATAAACAATATTATTTTTATATGAGGTAGATTTTTATATATTTTTAGATATGGGTTGGAATTATTGCTGTTAGGTTCCTATGTTCGTATGTTTACATTTTACTCATTGTTCACAATGCAGTTAAGATGGCTCTGGGAGTATTGGATTGTTTGATTTGGCAGACAAGGGACAGCAGACAGTTAAACTAGACGAGAATCATTTTGCTTATTTAACAATAATCCTATAGAAAACATTGAAAAGTAGCAAAACATGTAAACCTAACGAGGATAGTTTTATATTTGCACTAATATATCACTAATAAGTTTAATGGTCAAAAAGTATTTTTTAAATTTACATAGTTTTAGACTACGCATAGGAAACATTTTTTCCTCATAAGGCCGACCTCAGAACTAATAAGATTCAAGGTAAGTTTCGTAGTAACTATCTCAGCTAATTTCACTACAGAAGACCATATGCATAAGCATTTAATTTAGAATTGGTAGGAAACATTCATTTTTAGAAAATAGTTTTTATTATTAAAATATTGAAATCTGGATATAATATTATCACTGACTAGCAGCATGGCCGAGCGTTGCCCGTGCTTGATTCAAAAATCGTTACGACTAATACAGCCATCGCTATCATTGGACTTAAAATATTTTTGCTCTTCCTTGCCTTTAAAGGAGCGCCCTTTGCCGTGCTGATCTTGCTACATGCCTGACTTCTTGCCTATCTCACACTGCGAATTTTTTCTAAGCTCTATACTAAACATTAAATCTGATACGAAAAAAGGACTAAACAAAATGAACACAAAACGATCAGCTTGAAAAAAAGACTCGTAACTGGAAAAACAGAATGAAAAAAGAATGTTAACAACAAATACTTTTTCACACCCAACCCAGTTCTGCAGAATCAGAATCAGCGTTGAGTTTAAACAAGCGAATGACCAATTGAGTAAAGTGCCATGCAGATTTAAATTTTTCCCACTTGTGACGAATGCAGCTATCGATTTTTTTTTTGCAGGCTAGTATGCTGGTTAACATTCATGCCAATCAGTTGCTGGCTCTCACGCTGGGCTGGGTCAGAATCTTCCTGATCGTTCGTGCAGCCAGCTATAGGCTCTCACTCTGGCTAGTAGAAAATGGCCGAAAATTACATGTAAACCGCCGTAGAAGCATGAAAAAGACGGTTATTCCAACTATCGATGGGAGTTGGGAAATACAAAGTCGGTCTTGGCCTTTCCGTTAACTTGGAGCAGGTGCATGTAAATCTTGGTGCAAATCCGTCGAAAATTGCGGCCGTGCATTCGTTACACACACATACACACACAAACACACACACATCCTCCCTTTTATAGAAAGAGATAATCACATGTGGCTCTGTGGGATTTATTTTTAAATTATTGAAAATGTAAACATACTTCTTTAGTTTTTTGGTTTGGTTTTTATTTTACGGCATATCAAATCCTCAATGAGTTTTTAATGCCGAGAAAATTTTCATTCCTGGTAATATGTTTTTCTACAAAAATCTATTTTTGAGAATATTTTTTCTTGAAGGAATCTAAGCTGGTGATATTTTTTTTCAAATAATGTATAACTGTTTGTATTGCTGGTATTATTTTTTTTAAGTATTGCCGATAATAATTTTTCCTTAATAAATTATTGCTTATAATAATTTTTTCATTACAAAGTATTTCTGGTATTAAAACCTATTTATACACAAGTTTGGGTGTTATGTTGTCCATATCTGGGACCCTGACAAGTGCTGCCACCCCGGACCTGGCAACACCAGCAATTAAGAGGTGCTTCCACTCTCCTCAAAACCTCATGATCAGAGGCCTTACTGTAGGACGTAGTTTATCGTCTTACCCAGAACGCGGATGTAGTTTATCGTCAAACCCAGGACGCCATTTCTTCTTTAGAGAAAAATCAAATACTCATGAACTTTTTCCTGTTTCAAAATCAAAAGATGTTTACAGGTATGATCTTCCTTAGTGCAAATCGCCTATTGTTTAAAATGCTGACAACAAAATTCCAGAAATATTGTACTTAATCATTGTGAGAATGAAACAAAATAAAAATTTTAAGAAACGTTTCCCTTATGGATTCCTGCGTACCATTGAGAAAGACCAATCGGAATCCATGTGGCCCGCGGACTGCAGTTTTCCTGTGACTCTCCTATTCATATTCAAGTTCAGGTTTTTTTCCCCATCATTCCACGTCCATTTTACTGAATTGATAATGTGTTATGAGATACGTTCATTGCTTCAACATTTTGATGTGACTATCACAATTTATGTCTCATGCCAATATCGGATGACAGATTACACATTTTGCCGCCGTTTGTTTATGAATTTTCCCGCCTAACATGATTGTCGTCTGCATTTTCTGTTTTCTACATTTTCCCCATCTTCCTTATGAATGTATTGTTCTGATTTAAAAAAAAAAGAAAAGAAACGTTATCACTTTATATAGATATCTTCGTATATCTAATTATCATTCACTATTCATCTTGTTTGATATCAATCATTTTGGCAACTAAACTATGGTTTTAGCTTACATTCTCCTGTTGTTTATTTATAAGTTTATTTACATATACCTACAGTCAACAATTCAATCACGTTCACCAAAGTTTTCTTTTATATAAATCTTTCAATATTCTAAATTACAGTAATGTTTTAACTTTGTATCTATCTAGTGAAAGAAAAAAAGACTCTTTAGTTGTCTCCCTTTTATTATACGATTTTCGATGCGAGAAAATTCTCTTTCATCATTTCTGCCGACATTCAGTTGATTTCATGAAATATCGTTTCTATCGTCTCTGAAATAATAGCTTTCTCTATCGTTTTCTTCAGCTTCCAATGGACCAGCGTTCTTCATTCTCCTTTTTCTTCATAAAATCGTTATCTTCTCTCCATATTGTCTTCGTTTGAATCATTTACTGATGATCAATCTTTTCTTTCTTTGATTTTTTTTTTCAACTTCGCCTAACATCTCCCCGGTGACACACCCTAACATTACACGTGTTTTCCGGTTTTTTTTTTATTTTTTTTTTTTGTTTTGTTTTCCTTTAAAAAAAAAAAAAAAACTCTTTTTACGACTTGAGATTACTTTTAGGATCGGCAATATTCTCTTTATTTATTTATTTATTTATTTATTTATTTGCTTTAACTTCTTTTTTTTTCATTTTATTTCAGCAAATTCTTTCATGTAAATTTTATGCATAGAAGAACCGAACATTCAGGGCGGTTGTAAAAGAAATTTCTCGGCTTTTTATTTTATTTTATTTTTGACGCCCTTGTAGAGCAATTAATGCATTTAATTCAGATGTATGGGAAGGAACACATATCGGCACATATAGAGATAAATACATATATACAGATATACATATATAAAAATTTGTAAACAGGCTCACACATAAATAGATATGAATACATTCAAGGTCAGGTGCAGTCGTATACACACGCAAATATGCACTTAATCAAGAACACACAACACACACACACACACACACACACACACACATATATATATATATATATATATATATATATATATATATATATATATATATACAAAATTGCTTGACGTTATTCAACAATTTATATATGCTTGTACAACAGATAGATAGATAGATAGATAGAGATAGGTGTTTAGCTCAAGTATATAGGGGTTATAAATATATATATATTGATTTTCTAAGCGTAGCTTAGTTGTGGCACTAGGCCAAAGGTATGGGGGCACCCAGTGAGAATCAAACCCACTATGCAGTCGTAATTGTTCCAGCGAGACAAACTTGCTAACCATTAAGCCATGCCGAGGTGCCTATATATATATATATATATATATATGTGTGTGTGTGTGTGTGTGTGTGTGTGTGTGTGTGTTTCGGTTACTTTGGTTAAATAATATCGACATCTTCTGACTAATTTGTCATTATTTTTTTTTTAATTTACAAATTAGTTCTTTCATATTATTCGTAAATTTAGCACTGTTTATATTTATATTTTTTTTATATTTATTATTCCGAATCATTTCGATGTTGATACATCCATTTTCAATGATTATGTTTTATATGTACGCAAATGTTTTTGTTGAATCACGGTATTCCGGCGTTTATTGAAAACAATTCCAAGTCACACAAATTGATGTCACTTAAATGGTCAAACTGATTTTTTTTACGTTAATTTTCAACAGTTTTCAATATACGATTGCATATGTAGAAAGATAATTTATTTAATGTTAGAGGATTTTCTTTTATTTCAACAGCCTCCAGAACATGGATTCTTTCTTTGCATAGTGTCGCAGATAAAAAGTGGGTTTATCGAATAAAGTATGTCTGACGTTAATAATATTTTGCATATTTGTTATATGTTGATCGATATGTGCTTTAAATACACTAAATTTTGTCAAGTTAATCTACGGGAGAATGTGTTGTATTTGTGGACTATGTCGGAATTGAATTTTGTTTGTTGATTAGAAATACAATAACCCACAAGACATAAGAATTCATAAACAATATTATTTTTATATGAGGTAGATTTTTATATATATATTTTTTATATGGGTTGGAATTATTGCTGGTAGGTTCCTATGTTCGTATTTCTACATTTTAGTCAATATTCAAAATGCAGTTGCTGACATCTACCATAAAAGATGCATAGGTTCCTAGGAGAGGACCTGTTCCAAGGCTTGCACGTTGCCTCGATCCCAGTTTTTTGGACATCGAACTGTATTTTAAAATATAGGTCAAGGTTACTATATCTGGTGTTATATTTCCAACTGTTTAATGTTGTCTAGACGGGTCTATGCAACTCTAGTGTATTTTATTTCCTCCTCTTTCTTTTTTCCTTCTTTCTATTTTCTCTTTTTTTCTCTCTTTTTCCTCCATTTTTATTCTCTTTCCTCCCTTTTAAATCTTTCTCTTACTTTGTCGTCTTTGCCTTCCTCTTCCTTCCTGTTTCTTTAAAGTTTTAACAATCTTTAGGCTTTCTTTTTATTTTATCTTCAAAACCTTTGTTGTTGAGAAACCTCTGAAGATTTAATTCTCTTGCTGGAGGTCGGGTGGATACCCATATATATGTGATATTCAATTTCCTTTATACGTAATTTATTTACAGGGTGTTGAAGCAAAATCCGACACTTGACAAAAAGTAAAAGAAATAGGCAATAAAAATTTGTATATGCAGAGAGCTGACAGTTTATTTAGCAACAGTTAGAGTTCCATAGTATATTATTTTTCAATGTAACCCCCGCTGGCAGCGATGACCATCTCAAGGCGGGCGCGAAATGAGTCACACGCTTTGGCGACTATGTCTATAGCGGCGTGTTGTGCGCGTGCTTTTTGGTCTTGGTCTCGATCACGTCCAATATGAAATAGTCAAAGGGGTTGCAGTCAGGTGAGGAGTGGGTCCACAAGTCTGGCGACCAGTATTGAGGAACATTGTTGAGCAGCCACGTCTTTGTCGTCTTGGCCTTGTGTGTAGCGAAGTGGACGTCATGCCTCCGTTCTTCTTTCGAAAGGGCCTGAGTGTCAACGCTGCGATCTACCAGGAGGTGCTGAGGAGCGTAGTGAAGCCCTTGATGGGCAAGATCGCCGCCAGACGCCCCTACATATTTCAGGCTGGACTCCGCTTCTGCACACAAGGCCAAGACGACCCAGGTGTGGCTGCTCAACAGTGTTCCTCACCAATGGCCGCTGGACTTGTGCACGCCTTCCTCACCTGACTGCAAATTCCTTGACTATTTTTTTCTGGGGCGTGATCGAGGCCAAGATCAACAAGTACGCCCACAAAACGGTCGACTCTCTGAAGGCTGCCATCGTGGAGGTGTTCGCCGCTATGGGCAAGAACATGGTTGCCAAAGCGTGTGAATCATTTCGCGCCCGCCTTGAGATGGTCATCGCTGTCAGCGTCGGTTACATTGAAAGATAAATTAGTATGGATCTCTAACTGTGGCTAAATAAACCGCCGGGTCTCTGAATATACAACTTTTGTTTTTATTACCTATTTCGGATTTTTTTTGTCAAGTGTCGGATTTTGTTGCAACACCCTGTATTGCTTGTTAATAAAGGCATTGCCCTATATTTGTGGATCAGTTTTAATATTTTCTGTTATTAGAATTCACTTGGATTACTTACCCATTTTTTTTACAAGCATATATATATATATATATATATATATATATATATATATATATATATAATATATGAACATTTATTTAACCAGTAAAGAAGACAATATTTATGAATAAAATTGACAATAGGAAAAAAGTAATTGCTGACGCGTTTCGTCCAATGTGGATTTTATCAAAGCAAAATACGAAATATTTCTTATTGTCATTTTTATTCATATATATATATATATATATATATATATATATATATATATATATATATGTGTGTGTGTGTGTGTGTGTGTGTGTGTGTGTGAAAAAAAAAAATATGTTTAGTTTTATTGTATGAGTTTAAACTTGGTAAGAAAAATTCTCCAATTGCTGCCAACATTAACAGGATAGAATATTGGTCTGACGATTCACTTGTATTCGAAGTGTAAGGCACTGCGTTCTCAAGTTCAAAAGTGCGGAACGGATTTGGAAAATAAAGGTATTAGTGCCATTGACAATCAACATCTCCAAAATATTATAATCGAACAAAACCCACCCTAATAAATTATACAAATGGGGGTCTGCATTTCAACAATATCCCAGGATCTCAACAAAATCGGCAAGAAGGTAAGGAATCTCGCAGTGTTCCACATGAATTCTGCGAAAGTCAAAGGGTTCGAAACATTTGATTCTGCATCTGTTAAAAATAGAATTATCAATTTCCTGATAGAATAGTGTTTTTTTTTTCTTGTTAAGAAATGTCATTTATGGCAATTGTAGACGACCTGGTCAACGGTTTTTTCGTGAAGAAGCATCACAACACTTTCCAATCGACGATATGTATTTCTGTTTCATAACAATTCTCGGTCATATGACGCCTGGATGGAACTGGAGAAGATCACCAACTTCATATCCGATACTTTGGTACAGTCACTATGTCTACTTCACGTTTCGCCCACTGACAACAACTTTTAAAAAATTTTGGCAATATTTTAAGCCAAAACATATTCCGTCAAAAAGAACTTACGATAACTATTTTAATGATTTGTTGACATACAAACCTTTAGAGATATATCGGAAAAGCATAAATAACTCAACAGTCAAAATGCATAGATTTTCGGGAACACATTTTTATATTGGTTTCGTTGCAGAGTATTGGGATGCGCATAGACATTTCCTTCTGTGTGAAGTTAATACTATGTTGGATATGAAGAGACGTTTGTAGCCACCAAATGGTGGGGTGGAACGGTTACTTTGATCTATTTTCATCTCTTCTATTTTTCTTCTGGAATTTTCGAAGAATTTTTCTTTTCGTGGACTGCTCTTCTCAAATTGCTTCTTTCGGTTACTTCCGTTTCCTAATTGGCTGGAACGATTTCTGTCCCGAGCAAGGTGTTTTTTCTAGCTGATCCTTGAATCGACGACGAGTGGCTCCAAGTGTCTCATGATGCAAGCTCTAAGACGAGTTTTGTTCGGGTATCGGAAAAGTGTCCGGACCATCAAAATCAGCAACGAGTCATGATTCTTTCGAGGGACTCCATTTTTATTTTTACTTATTTAAACCGTTACATTTAATCCAGGAATAAACCTTGATACTAAATCGGACATTATTTTCCGGATAATCATTTTTTTTTATATGAAATCACCCCAACCGATGCGATAATGCCTCTAAGACACAAGGTGAAACAGAATGAAAAGATTTTTAGAAGGAACCGGAAATCCAATTACAAACGAGAAACAAGGGATAAACCTCTACTCCTGTTCAAAAGACCATACAGATTTTTGAGACGGACAACAGATGAAGCTACCTAATCCTATTGTGGAAAAATAATTAGTAAATAAAAGTTTATTCCGAAACGTTAGATGCATTGAGGTTAAGTAGATTTTAAAAGAAACAAGAAACCCAATTCTAAACAGGAATTAAGGGATAAACCTCTACCCAATCTTCAAACAAATGGCGTGAAAAGTGAACCGGAACAGAGTTGAACTTATTTACTCGTATTATAAGCTAATTGATTTGTTCTAAGTGTTAGTAGTAATTTTCATGTAATTGTTAATCCCTTTATATTTTTTTCGAATTCCATATGTTATTCCAGTATTTCTGCATTGGTTTATATAAAAGTATGTATATATTTAAGTCACTTTTACATTGATAGCAGTAATTTTATTTCCCCCTTACATCATCCCCGTGACTAAAATGTTCCAACCATGGTATTCTTAGCATGTATCGTTCCTAGAATCTATGACTATAGTTCTCTTTATACTTTTATAATTTACTAGCGGCATGGCCCGGCGTTGCCCGTGCTTGATTCAGATATCGTACGACTCATACAGCAATCGCTATCACTTGACTTAAAATATTTTTGCCCTTCCTTGCCTTTAAAGGAGTGCCCTTTTCCGTGCTGATGTTGCTACATGCTTTACTTCTTGCCTATCTCACACTGTGAATTTTTTCTAAGCTCTATACTAAACATTAAATCTGTTACGATAAAATAACTAAACAAAAGGAACACAAAACGATCAGCTTTAAAAAAAGGACTCGTAACTGGAAAAACCGAATGAAAAAGAATGTTACCAACAAATACTTTTTCACACCCAACCCAGTTCTGAGGAATCAGAATCAACGTTGACTTTAAGCGAGCGAATGAGCCAATTAAAGTAAAGTGCCATGCAGATTTAATTTTTCCCACTTGTGAAGAATGCAGCTATCAATTATTTTTTTTGCATGCTAGCATGCTAGTTAACATTCCTGTCAATCAACTGTTGACTCTCACGCTGGCTAATAGAATCTTCCTGCCTATTCGTGGCAGCCAGCTATAGGCTCTCACTCTGGCCAATAGAAAATGGCCGCAAACTACACAAAAACTGCCGTAGAAGCATAAAAAACGATTATTTCTACTATCGATGGGAGTTGGGAAATGCAAAGTCGGTCTTGGCTTTCTCGCTAACTTGGAGCATGTGCATGTAAATTTTGGTGTATATCCGTCGAAAATTGCGGCCGTGCATTCGTAAACACACACACACACACACACACACACACACACACACATCCTGCCTTTTATAGATAGAGATGCGAGTCTTGTCTGAATCAAACAACTACGTTTATCAATATTGATGTATGCATGTGGGAATGGAGTGTTGGATAACTGTATATCTTTGGAGGAATTTGACTTAGTTGCATATGCGTGTATCGAGGAAAAACAGATGTGACTTCATGCCGACAACAAAAACCATTATCTAAACAACGGTTAGCAAGACTCAGATCGATAGCCCTTGTCGATTGGCTCCAAGCCAGTAGCACGGATCTTCGGTTGGCGCTGTTAGCTGCGGGCGAGAAGCAACAAGAACACAGCTGGTTTCCAAAAGAAAGACACAGGTCGAGAAATCGAAAAAAAAACAAAAAAACTAACACGTTCACGTGAAATATTTCCGTACCTTTTACCACATTTTCATATGTTTTTATTCTACTTGACGATGTAAGAAAGAATCTCTGACCACACATAAAAATCTGTTTCCTCTTTTCTAGGCTATGGAGAACACGTAAAAGGATGGCTTGCAGGGATAATAAATACAAAATGGAAGCCAATATTAAAGAAACAAAGAGAAATGACAACAATGTTTCAACATAAAGAGTATCAGTAAGACAGTAAGAAAAGAGAAGGTTCGACGAATATATATATATATATATATATATATATATATATATATATATATACTACTACTACTACTCTATACTCGACTCTCTCCTCGAATTCACCTCATGAGGGACAATCAAATCAGTTCCTAGGAAACCGACAGTCCGACAACTGCACATGAGATTTCATTATAATGGTGAAGGTTTCGTGCAGTACCATCCACAATTTTTTAATGTCCGAATACAGAGACCTGCTGCAGGTTTTGAATTCAATGTTGTCCTTCTCCTAGAATATTTGGCATTCAATGCTATAGAAGCCAGACTGTCTTGCTATTTACCCAAAGTTGGAGGGAGGAGACGTGGATTCACACCTTTCCAAAGGGTATTTGCTTGTAAGTGAATGTAATGGATTCGCCTGAATTTGAACTCCGCTTCTTTAATCCAAGCCGCTATCCATTACTTCCACCGTGTCTCCTATATATATATATATATATATATATATATATATATATATATATATATATATATATATATATATATATATAGAGAGAGAGAGAGAGAGAGAGAGAGAGAGAGAGGGAGAAAGGAGGTATAAACATATATATATATATATATATATATATATATATATATATATATATATATATATGTTTATATGTTTATATGGACTTTTGTCCCTGTTTTTGTGTAAGGAAACCGCTCCTATAGTTTAAAAATTATTTTGTGAATACATCCATAGAATTATAAATGCTTACACACATCATACTCACTCACTCACTCACTCACTCACTAAGAACCAAATAACATACACATTTAACAGAGACATATCCCCTTTCCAGGAACCAATAAAACTATCAAAATGACCAAGGTATTTCAGAGCAGCATGAATCCATCCAGCTCTTATCTTAAAAAACAACTCAAAAGTGACTGTTTGACCAAAACAAGGGCTAACCAAAATTCACCTTAAAAAAATTAAAAAAAAGAAATCTACCAACAAGAGTTCATTTTCTCCATCAAAACATTCATTTCTGTAGTTCACTGCTACCAGCAAGCAAATTTTTTTTCTCCTGAAGATGGACATTCTGTCCGAAACTATTCGAGGAATCTAACTGAAATAATAATCAAAACGAAAGAATATTAATACACAATCCAGTGTGTCAAAAGATTTTAATTTTTTTTAATATTTTTATATTTTCATTCATTTACGTTTCATTAAATAATATAGACAAGTGTTGTCTATTTGTTTTATCTAAATTCTTTTCATAACGTCTGATAAGTTTAATAACATTATCGTTGAACGAAGAAAAAAATTCACAATATTGATCCATATCTTTTTAATACAATCTAAGTTTCGTCTTACATAAGCCATTATCAAAGATGTCAGTTACAACATATTAAACAATATACAGACAAGACAGTGATGCAGTCTGTCAATGTTTACATAGATGATTTCTAAGCAGCGATAAACACGCGCATATGAGACGCTAGAAGCGAAAATCGAACCGCATCTCATGACGTCACACATGACCACACGAGAGTGAATTGGAGAAGTATGAAGTAAGGAAAGCCGTTGGTATAAGCCAATGGCTTCTGTTACCAATTATACACATTAATAATATATATATATATATATATATAGATATATAGAAAAGATAAGGTGGTTAATAAAATATAGGACTAAATGATACCAATATAATCAGGAAATTAATATTAATTAAATATCAACCATATGAGAAAAATGAAGCACGGACTATAAGGTTTTAACTTCAATATTTTCGAACACGACTCTGTTCTTTATCAACTATCCGAGGAACAAAGAGTGTAATGTGAATTACTCACCGAGAGTTGTATTTATTGATGCAGTACTTTCCATTAGAAATCGTACAATGATCAAAGGCAGATCTCTGTGTAATTACTCAATGCGCAAAACATTTTTTATGAAAATAAACTTAAATTTTGATCGGTGAAAAAGTGCTACGCACATCTATTGTTATTATTGTGAGTCAGATAAAGTAGTGAGAATTTAAACATTGATGAGGAGAGTTATAGGTTGGAAAGGGAGAAAGATGCCGCGCGTGCAGCAAGTTGTAGAAAATGTTAACAGATCCCGTTTTCGAGTGTAGAGAACTAGGGAAACATAGAACAAATAGTGATGAAAAGAAAGAAAGGGAAAGAAAAATATAGAACAAAGAAAATATATATTAATTAACTAAAACTGAATAAAATCAAATAGAGATGCCCTGAAGATGGTAGGGAAGCGTTAAACATTCTTTACCGTTTGCTGTTGACTACAGTCTCCATATTTATATTATTTATCTTTCCAAATTCTTTATCGCTGGTGTTAAGTGTTTTAGCCATAAATAAAGCTTGTCTTAGAAGTATATATTTTTGTCATATATATATATATATATATATATATATATATATATATATATATGATAAGCAAATCCTTAAAATGCGATTATGTTGTTTTAATATGAATGAAATGTCGACGTCTGACGTTTCGGTTTAATAACCTTCTTCAGGACAATATTCATTAAAAATACAATTAACATAATCAGTATAACACGACGAAAACGATGGACATAAAAACAAGTCGTGGTGGTTTCTGGTGGTTTCTGGGAACATTGGTCCCACCGTCTAGAGTTTCCCTTTGGTCTTACCAACGACCTGCCATTCAACTTTCCCTTTTCTACAACTGCAAGAGCATGGGCAAAAGTTTTTCAAGAAATGGGGGCTCTCTGTGTGTGCAGAAATTGAGCAAAATAAGTGGAGAGGTGCTCTCCTATGACCTGACAAAGGGTCTCAAATACTGATTAGTTGGGCCTTTTCTTACTCTCATTTTAATTTTTTTATGAATCTTTTATGGTATGGTCCAGATTGGAAGCGTCCTCACAGTCGGCAGGCGTGGGTAACAGTATGTCCCACATGGACTATCAATTCCCTCTTACGATTCTTTAGGGTTTCTACCCAAGGGACATCCATGATTTGATGACAGTGTCTTTTGTGGAGAGACAAATTTTGTGAGAACGCTTGTCGACCACAAAGAGAGACATATTTTTTTAAGCTTATGTAATTTTTAAACGTCTATTAAGAGCCCATAAGAGTTTCGTAGCTCTTGCCTCTCTCCGGGAATTCCGTCATATTGATTATGCAATTCTGTCGAGACTTCCGGCAAGAAGGTATGTCCCCGGTCGCTACGTTTTCGTCTTTGTTTTGTTCCTGGAGTCATTTGCCAACACCATTTCATGATTTTGGCTATTCTTGGCTTCCATACTTTCCCTTGAATCGATTTAGTCGTCAATCTTTTAGCAATGGCTACGTTCTCAGTACTAATTATTGATTGGGTTTGTTTTTTTATAGGGATGGTCTTTCTTTTACCCCCACAACAAGGCATTTTAATTGACCATTGTTTACCGGCTATTTTTGCTTAGTTTAAATTACTTTTCTTATATAAAGAGAAAAAGGGAACTTTCTTAAAGTAATTACATTAATAAATAAATGACAGAAAACCTTAAATATATACAGAACAATGTAAACAAATTTACTAAGACAATGAAACAAAAAAAAAATGAACAACACTGATTTAACCATAAGGTTGTGAGGTTAAAAATAATATTACACAAATTAAAAGAAAATCCTTCCCTCAAAAGAAAAATGATTTACAAAAATTAAAAAAAAAGGAAAACAAAAGGACAAGCAAAAAAGATAAATATTTAACGGGAAACATAAAAATAATAAATTTACGGAAACAAAATAAAGCAAGTAAAAAAAAGTTTACCTTTTTTTAAAATTAAACCAGCAAAATAAACAAGTTATGAAATAAATACGACAGAGGAAAAATTATTTATTTTAACTATTAAAAGAAATAGCCGAGTAAAAATAAAATAAAAACAAACTGATTAAATTAAATATGGCTTGCGGCTAGGCGGAGACGAGTAATAATTGAAGTTAGGTCACCAAAAAAGTAAGATGTAGAAAATGAAAACCAAAAGGATTAATCGTAAAGAAAAGATATGTGAAAAAATAAAATAAAATAAACGTAGGTTTACTGACTATATTTAGTCGTCCCCCCACGAGGGCGTCATGTGGCACAAGGCCTTTTTAACGTGGGCATTTCCGAGCCATTAGGATCGGCCAAAAAATAGCCCATTTGAACCCGTATAAACGGGTTCAGGGCCAGTTTTACCTTCGGCATAGCCTCCTTCGGGTTCCTCTCCGTCCGTTCGAACCGTCGCTCAGAAAGTAGGTTTACTGACGGCTGTTGAAGAAATAAAAGAAAATTAAAATAAAATATACACAAAAATTAAATCAATAGACTAGTGAAACAAGATGTTGCACTAGAAATAAAAAATATAAAAAAGACGGGGAAAAATGAAATGAAAATTCAAAATAAGTTACAAAAAAAAAAAAAACTCTCCGTAAAGGAAATGTAAAAATAAAAAGAGATAAACTTAACGTAAACTATAGCAGCACTTCCAATAAAAAAAAAATAAATAAAAAATAGTAGTTCCAATCGGTTACCGACAAAAATACGTCTATCACGAGGCGAGATTAGAATCGTTTTGAGTTAGGTTTAACGAACTCTGGATGGACTCCAACGGACTACGCTGACTCACTTGGAGTCCTTAACATCTTTCTATCTCTGCCCCCAAAATATTGGCAAATAGGACATCTCATTAACTATATTTAGTTTACCTCCACAGATTAAACATGGTTTTAACGAAAGAACTGACATCTTTTTTTTCCGTGGGCATGCTAATACACTCGATTGAACGCATAATGAGTGATTGCGATAAAATTGGAGTGGGGTTACTGCATCGAGTTCACATGAAGCTTACATCAACATTTACATGGCAGAAGATTGAAAATATATTGAAGATATTTGTTAATATTACAATTCAATAAAATGCTGTTGAAACTTTCATTTTTTAAAAATATGCGTTTTTGCCTACGTACACACACATTAAGGGTACCCTGTATATTTACCAATGTATTAACGCCTGTTTCTGTCTGTTTCTCTAAGTGACTATGTATATATGCATGCATGATACTGAGAAAAAGCCTGAAAATTACATCATCCGCTGAGCCATTCGTTATTTACGAAAATGTGTAGGATATCTATCTATCTATCTATCTATCTATCTATCTATCTATCTTATGTTCCTTTCTCGGTCTATATCTGTATAACTGTATAACGAAGTATATATATATATATATATATATATATATATATATATATATATATATATATATATATATATATATGCGTGTGTATTATTCATTCTCCCTCTCTTTTGACACCATTTTCGTAAGAATCACTGAAATAGTCTTTGAGTTATTCATCTAGAAATATTATAGGTTAAAATCATTTTGTGTCAGCCACACAGTCTTCCCAAATGAGAATGGTGAGAGGAAAAGATCATTCCTGTCTTCAAAGCCAATTCAAGAACAATCAAGAGAACGGGGTATAAGTTTTAAGAGGGAAGAGGACAGTGGAAACCTGGATCAGCAGGTCACAACAGGAAGAGTGATCATCATTTCCACTTACAGCTAAAGAGATGGTAGAATGTATGGTAGCATGTACAGGGAGATTCTAGAGAAGAACCTTTAGAAATCTGCAACTTCTTTAGGACATGGTCGGAATTTTGTGCTTCAACACGACAATGATCACCAACTTACCGCAAAACTTATAAAGTAATGGTTTCAAAGTAATGGTATTAGTACTCTCAATTGGCCAAGTCAGTCTTCTGACTTGAATCCAATTGAGAATTTGTCGAATACTTTGAAGGTTAAAGTTCATAAGCGGAATCCACAAAATATCAAGCAATTAGAGGAATTATGCAAGGAAGAATGGTGTAAAGTAACGGTGGATCAGTGTGGAAAACTTGTGACCAACTATAGAAAGCGACTGGAAGCAGTGAAACAAAACAGAGGCTACGCAACAAATTATTAAATTGATGCATCCAATACTTTTGCATAGAGTAATTTTGAACTTTGATAAAAAAATGGATTCAACCTTGAGTTTTTAATTTTCCTTACACATACAACTAAAACAACTTTTACGAGATATTACTTAGAAATATCAGGCAAAATGTCGAAGATAAACTAGATTTATAACATGTATCCAATACTTATATATATACTGTATATATATATATATATATATATATATATATATATATATATATATATATATATATATATGAATAAAAAGATACAAGAGGTATAACTATATTTAGCTGATGCATTTCATCTTCTGACTGAATTTATCAAAGTGTTATAGGATTTATTATACTGTACAGGTTTAAACACAGAGGCGATAGTTAACATTGTTTTATCAAGGTTTATAAATTTACAAACATTCATGAATACATTGTTATAAAATTATTATAATTAAAATAGTATCGAGTATTACTCGCTTACTTTGATTTTTACCAAATTTTGAATTATGACACGTTGTAGCCCGCCATTGCTTAGCGTTAATGTTCAACCACCAGTCGAACTTTCATGATCCTCTTCAAATTTATAAACCTTGATAAACTTATGACATCCAGTGCCTTTGTATATAAACAAGTGCAGCCTAATAAATCCTAGATTGCCTTGATAATGATCTTCAAAGGACGAAAGGCGTCAGTTTAACATATGTTTCTTCCTGTCTCTTTTCATTCATTTTGTCTCTTCTACAGATACACCCTATCTTAGAATATATTACACACGCAGACACACACACACACATATATATATATATATATATATATATATATATATATATATATATATATATATATATATATATATATATATATATATATATACATGTAATAATAACAGCATATTTAAGTTTTCATTTATTGTAATAAAATAACAGTTGCAGCTGCCATTGTAAAAAAAAAACCATAAATTTGAAAATTTATTTAGAGTATATTATAAGCTGTTATAACAAAATATTCTGCGACTGATACAGTATTCTCGCAAGGACCTTGACGAACGAAACCTTGTGAAAGTCGGTATTTGATCACTGTTATTAAAATTATTTATGGCAACGTTTTAATAATACATACATACATCCATACATACATACATACATATATATATATATATATATATATATATATATATATATATATATATATATATATGGAGTTCGTAAGGCTACGCAACTGCTTCCTGAACCCTGTCGACCATCTTTTTCAATCCTAGTGTTTGTCATAATCCTATTACCCCGCACAGATAGCTTTTCTCTTTGAACTTTTCTCTTGTACCGTGTCCAAATCTTTATCTTTGTTCGATTCGCATAGCCTAACACACAAAATGCCTTTCTCTACCTGAGAAGAATAAAAACCACAAAACATTTAACATAGAATTTTGAGTTACTTCTGCATTTGCCGTAAAAAAAAAATGATCACTTCAACGAGAATTGATCAAGCTATTAGAGTACGAAATGATATCAATTTTGTTTAACAAAAACTGTATATGTATAAAAACAGAATCTCGAAAGAATAAGCAGACACGTATATTGTCTCTATTTCTGAGATGAGGTATTATGTACACTATTTACATTTTTCAGACTATTGTCCTCATCTTTGTTGCCACATTTATTACAACGTTTTGGGCGTTGTACGCTCCGGCCTTCTTCAGGTAGTTGGAACTGAACCCTTTATTTCGCTCACTGTGTTAGATTTCTCTAGTTCCACGCGCCATGTTTAATGGATGTCAGTTATCAGTTATCTCCTGTTAATTCTCCTCTCCAAGTTCTCCACTGCCTTAATCGGGCATTGAACTAAAAATTTTGTGTCCTGTCACTGGATCTAGCTAACGCCTTTATCCAATCAAGGATACATGTCACGCTACAAAGATGCACATTAACACACTACAAAGATGCAACTTCGTTTCGGTGCATTTCATATTTGGTTCTCACCCGTCAAGGTACAATTAAAAATGCACCGAAACGAAGTTGCATCTTTTTAGGGAGTAAACTGTTTTTGTCTATATGATAAAAAATTAAAAATATCTATCTATCTATCTATATATATATATATATATATATATATATATATATATATATATGGTAGTGGATAGCAGTCAGGATTGAGGAATCAGAGAGCCGAATTCGATTTCCAGTCGAAGCCATTATATTCGCGTAAGTGCTAATAACCTTGAGAAATGTATTAATCGTCTTCTCCCTCAAGCTATGTGTAAATAGCAGGATATACAGGCTTCTATAGACTTGGGTGGCAACTGGTCTAGGAGGAGGAAAATTCTGAATTTAAAATCTGCGTTGGTTAATTTGGGATCATTCTGGCATATATATATATATATATATATATATATATATGAGAAAATATAGTTATGTTTTTTATATTTATGCATAAAATTGCACAATATCATAGATAGAGCATATAAAAGCCGGCTTTGAGGCCAGGACCAAGCGGCAACAGTCTGTTTTATACTACAAATAAAATCTTTATGTCATGTCCAGTGTCTTTGGCTCAGCTATAAATTATAAATTATTAGTATCAATGCTTCTTTTGCTATCCTGAAGCTTAATGTATAGGTCGTAATGGTTATGTTTGAAAATAAGGAAGGCAGCATCAGCCTACAAGGATAAATTAAAAGAAATCCTTCAACCACTTCTGGAAAAAATATCTGTAATCCAATTCCCAGAGCAACAGATTTTACTAAAGATATGATCAGGTCTAATCTCAAAATCTAGTCCCGAATACGAAGTATTATTGCGTTATCTAAAAGATTTAAAAAAACATATATTCTGTAAAGTAACATCAGGAAAAATCCGAATATTTCCCCTATATACCACTCAGATAAGAAAAATACTTAAGGGGATGCTAATACTTTAAATTAATCAAATAAGAGAAAGTAAAATAAATTAATAAACAAACGAATTAAGTATATGATGAACAAATGAACAAACCTAAAGAGAACACATACAAACAATAAATATAATATTAATCAACAAATGCCATGGAAAATACATAATGAATAAAAAGTTAACCAATAACAAAATCAAGACAGAAAATTATTTCCGCACAATACCCTCAAATATGTGCATATATATATATATATATATATATATATATATATATATATATATATATATATATATATATATATATACCCGTGGAGGTACAATTAAAATGTACCGAAACGAAGTTGCATCTTTTTAGTGATTAAACAGTTTTTGTCTATATGATAAAAAACTCTCCTATCTCTTATTATATTTATATATAAATGTATATATATTTAAAATGTATATATATATATATATATATATATATATATATATATATATATATATATATATATATATATATATATATATATTTTTTTATATATTATGATTATATATTATATATGCGCGGTACTTATCGGAAACGGCTCAATATCAGTGATAGAGCTAACATATAGAGCTGACATATTTAGTTGTACTTATGTGAGTTTGTGACCCTGGGTTTCACGCTATTTGTGATCGTCAGACAAACTGATTAATTTTAAAATTTGTGTTTACATATGGTTGCGTATGACGGTGTTTTTTATGGTATTGAGAGGAAAAACTGTCGTCGGAACGTCAGTCATACGTACGCAGACATACATACAAGTATGTTAACGCATTGCAGTTCACTCAAACATAAACATATATGAATAGTGTGGGACTAGGCGCATATGTGCATACATGTGTCGTTGCGTACATACGTACTCACTGTAATCAATGTTGTGTTGTGTGACGAATTTCTCACAAACCTACATAAATCCAATGAAATGTGTGTATATATATATATATATATATATATATAGATAGATAGATAGATAGATAGATAGATAGATAGATAGATAGATGTGTGTGTGTCTGTCTGTGTTTCTGAGTTTGTCTCTTAGTGAGCCCTCCTATCTCTTATTACATATATATATATATATATATATATATATATATATATATATATATATATATATATATATATATATATATATATATGTATATATATATATATATATACAGAGAGAGAGAGAGAGGGAGAGATAGATAGATAGATAGATAGATAGATAGATAGATAATATTAGTGGTAAATATACATACATATGCAAAATATATAAATACCCATACATGTATATTTTTTTAATAAAAATTCCAAGAGGAAGGATCCAGGTAGAACTCAATGTCCAGAACAGAGTAAGGATATAA